CACATTGTTGGATTCCTCTTTCTAATCTATTCTGCTATCTGCTTCCATTTTACAGGTGAGCTCATCTCATTCACATCCACAGTTATGACTGTGTATTTCCCTCCATCCCATTTTCTTTTTTTTAATTCTTCTCTCTCTTTTTATCCTGTCTGTCTCAAAAGTCTATTTTGCTTCTAATCACTGCCTCCCTTAATCTGCCCTTCCTTTTGTCATCCCCTCCCCTTTTTCTTATCCCCTTCTTATACACTATTGGGCATGTTACATTTCAATACACAACTGAGTGTGTGTGTGTGTATGTGTATATATATGTATATGTATGTTTATATGTGTGTGTGTGTGTATTCTTCTCTTTCTGAACCAATTTCTGATAAAAGTAATGTTCAAGCATTGCCTGCCACTCTCTGACCCATTTTTCCCTCCACTGTAAAAGCTCTTCCTTGTGCACCTCTTCGATATGAGAAAATTTTCCCCATCCTACCTCTCCCTTCTGCCAATGTATCCCTCCTTCTCACCCCTTGATATTTTTTGGAGATTATTCCAATATCATCAACTCACATCCATGCCCCTTGTCATTGTAGACTCCATTTAACTACCCTAATAATGACAAGGTTCTTGGGAGTTACATGTATCATCTTCCCATATAGAAATGAAAACAGTTTAACCATATCAAGACTCTCATATTTACCTTTTTAGGCTTCTCAAGAATCCTGTGTTTAAATGTCAGATTTTCTATTCATCTTTGGTCTTTTCATTAGGAATGCTTGAACATGCTCTATTTCACTAAATATCCATTTTCCCCATCAGTTTTGCTGGATAGGTTTTGTTTGGGGTTTTTTTGGCTATAATCTTAGCTCCTTTGCCTTTTGGAATATGACATTCCAAGCCCTTCTATTGTTTAAATGGAAGCCGATAAATCTCGTGTGATGCTAACTGAAGCTCCATAATAAACTGTTTCTTTTTGGCTGCCTGAATTATTTTCTTTTTGATCTGGGAGCTCTGTAATTTGGCTTAACATTCCTGGGAGTTTTCATTTTAGGATTTCTTTTCAAGAGATGGATTCTTTCAATTTCTATTTTACCCTTTGGATCTAAGATATTGGAACAGTTTTCCTTGATAATTTCTTTAAATATGATGTATAAACTCTTTCTTTGATCATGGCTTTCAGGTAGTTCAATAATTCTTAAATTATCTCTCCTCAATCTATTTTCCAGGTCAGTTGTTTTTTTCTTTGAAACAGTTGATATTTTCTGCATATTCAAATATTTTTCATTCTTTTGACTATTTTAGTGTTTCTTGATTTCTCATTAGTTATTAGCTTCCACTTATTCAGTTCCAATTTTTAAGAAATTATTTTCTTCAGTGAAATTTTGTACCTCTTTTTCCATTTGGCCAATTATGTGTTTACATCAGTATTTATTTTCTTAAGTATTTCTGAGCCTCTTTCACCTCTCTCTTTACATAATTTTACATAATTTACATAATTTTCTTGCAGCACTCATTCTCTCCCCCCCCCCATTTTTCCTCTACCACTCTTATCTCTTTCTTTAACACTTCCAGGAATATTTGTTGAGCTTAAGTCCAATTAGCATTTTTCTTTGAGGCTTTGTAGCTGTTTTCATATTGTGGTCTTCTGAGTTTATGTCTTGGTCTTTCCTGCCACCATAGTAACTTTTTTATAGTGAAATTCTCTTTTTGTTGTTTGCTCATTTTTCTAGCTTATTTCTTGATTTTGAACCTTATGTTCAAGTTGGGCTCTATTTACCTGGGAAGGGGGTGTGTGGGGAGGGCATTGTTCCGAGCTTTGGGATTTTTCATGCTGCTAATGTCAGAGCCAGTTGTAGGGGTCTGTAGGTTTTTGATGTTTCTAAGGTGGTGTGATCCTGGAAGAGTATGGTCACTGTTCTCCTGGCTTGCATTCTGGTCTCTACCCAAGAAGGATCCCTAATCCCCTGCAGACACAGAGGCTAGCACTCTCTATACCTTGAAGTACAACCAGAGCCTCACTGCTTCCTTGTCACTGACCCTCAGTGCTCTTCTCTACCTTGGAACTGGAACCCAAAACCAAAATCATGTATAGGCAACAGAGTTCCAATCAGTGCCAGCAGTATTTAGTGCCAGGAAAGGCTCCCCTGTAATCTTTTTCTTATCAGTTTTCCAACTCCCTTACAGTCTCTGGGCTGAGAGCTCCTGAAGCTGCTCCAACAGCCACTGTTGTTGCCATTGCCATCTATGTGCTCTAAACAGGGTTCCATGATGGTGTCACAAACTTCTCCTGCCAACTCCTAAATTGTCTTAGGCCAGAGAAATGTCTGACCCTGACCTTTTGTTGGCTCTGCTGCTCTAAAATTTGATTTGAGGTGTTATTTTAAAGTTGTTTGGAAGGGAACATTGAGAGAGTTCATCTGAGCTGCCTCTAACCCGCCATCTTGGTTCCACCTCACCAGCACTTTTTTTTTTTAACACTAGTAAAGAAATGGAAGGAAAATAAGGACCCTCTGATTGGGCAAAGGCTGAACAAAGTATGGTACGCTAATATAACAGAATATTATTATGCCATAAGAAATGACATACATAAAGAATTCAGAGAAACTTGGGGAGACTTTTGTGAACTGATACGGAGCAAAATAAGTAAAACCAGGAGAACAAATTACATGATGACTACATTATAGTAAAGGAAAATTATACTGAAAGACTCTAAACTTGGATAATTGCATCATGACTTCAAAACACAGATGGTAAAAAGCATCCTATCCCACTTCTCATCAGAATTGTGGTGGACAAGAAGTATGGAATGCGGTACACATGTTCAAACATGGCCACTGCATTTATTTGTGTTGGCTTATTATTTGTCACGAGGAAAAAGGTACTGGAAAAAAGGAAGAGGTCGTAGAATGTAACAGTCACATAAAAAAACAAAAAAAATCAGCAAGATATTTGTTTTAAAAAACTGTAACTGTTACAGGAGATGCCCAGAGTCCAAACAGAAAAGGACTTTTTCAAAATGAAATATTTATTTGTAGTGTTCTTTCTTTTGAAATGTTGAGTTACAAATTCTTACCCCTCTCTCCTGCCTCTCTCTCACTTACTGACAAGGTAAGAAATATGATACTAAATACATATGTGAAATCATTCAAACCATATTTCCTTATTAGCTATAGGAAAGAAGGAAGGAAGGAAGGAAGGAGAAAGAGGAGGGGGAGGGGAAGGAAGGGAAGAGAAAGTGAAAAAATTATATTTCAGTCTACACTTAGTTTTCACTCTGGACATGGATACCATTTTTCATTATGAGTCTTTCACAATTGTCTTAGATCGCTATATTGATCAGATTAGCTAAGTCTTTCACAACTGATCATCATGCAATACTGTCGTTACTGTGTACAGTGATTCGGGTCTGCTCAATTCACTTTGCATGAGTTCATATCAGTCTTCCAAGGTTTTTCTGAAATCCCCATCCTGCTCATCATTTCTTACAGCACAATAGTGTTCCATCACAATCATATATCAAATTTGTTCAACCATTCCCCATTAATGGGTACCCCCTGAATTTCCAATTCTTTGCCACCACCAAAAGAGCTACTATAAATATTTTTGTACATATAGGTCCTTTCCCTAGAAAAGGACTCTTTAATAGATGGAGCAATTTTCCAGATGTTCCTATTTGTAGGTGACATTTTGTTGATGACATCAAATCCCAGAATATCATAGGGACCCCCCCCCTTACTGAGACCCTTCATCACTCAAAAGAAAAGGGCCTTATAATCCACATAAGAAAAAGCAACAACCTGGCTGAATAGGTAAGGCACTAAGTTAGTTAATCACCACATAAAAAAGGGCTGGAATAGTTTGGAAAACTATATGGAACTTTCAATGATCTGAAGCTGTTCCCTGAAATAAAAATCTCTATAATTTAACACCATTTTTCATGTCAGTGAATCACAAAACACTATAATCTCCAAACAATCAAAACTGATCTAAAAAGTAATGGAGACACACAAGTTGGGTATAAGTAAACTGAAGCATATTATCAATGATGATTTATAAGCAAAAAGTGACATTAAAGATATCATCCAAAAATATGTAATTTTTAAAAAATCAGTAGTGTAACAGAATGAAAATGAGATATTTGTAAAGTGCTTAGCATACACAGTACCTGGCATGTAATAGATGCTTGATCCTTTCTTTGATTTAGAGTTAGGAGACCTAAGTTTGAATCCTGGCTCAGGTAAATGTTACCTATGTGACATCAGCTAAGTTACTTAACATCTCTGGGCCTGCGTTTCTTCATTTACAAAATGAGGGGTTTGGGACAAGATGATGTGTGAGGTCCTTTGCAGTTCTAAATGTGTGCTCCTACGATTCTGTATAGTGACAGCAAAGGACAACAAATAGAGCATCTAATTGGCACTCACTAAACATTAAAAACATTAAGGAAAGGTTTCAGTGTCTTAGATAGATCTAGGAAGGATTTTGGTATGGACATGTGAAAGAACAGCAAAGGATAAAAAGATACAACTTTTCCATTCTGTGCCTCAGAACATTGCCTGGGTCAAATAATCTAGTCAATATTGACATGAATCTGGGTACAGGGATGAGCTGACCAGGCTGAAGGCCTCTCAAATATATGCCCCACCACATACACTATAACAAGTCCATTTCCAGAATTCTGCTGACCCCTACTTTGTTGTTAGGAGGAAGATACCTCTTTTGATAAAATCAGGGATCCACTCAAGTACTGAAGCACTGAAATTATGCTCTCTGCTTGAAAAGTGTGGGAATGATTCACTCCTCTCTCACAAAATAAAGCATAAGTACTTTCTTCTTATTTCCAGTGACATCAGAGGATTTTATGCTTAACTTCAGCTTTTCAGTTGTCCTCTGAAGTCTGGATTCTACAAGTTTGATACTGAATAAATATTTTATCAAGTTTCTAACATTTTAAATAAAAATATACTTCCATACCTGCCCCCCCCTCCAAAATTTTAACTGAACACAATCAGTACCTCTCCAGATAATCCAACTGCTTCTTCTGTTGTTCCGTATTGACCAATAGGGCCATTCTGTAGTCGTTCCAAAAGCTCCAACAATGCAAAATTCTTTTTCAATCCCCAGACACCTGAGTCTCCTAGTTTAAAAGTAAAATAAAGATGAGTTTAACAAAACAACACTATATCTCTCATTCTACACTTCAACTATGATTTTCAAATCATAATCTAATTTTTAAAAATAAAAATTTTCACATTTCTAAAATGAAAAAGTTCTCATTTAGTTTCCTATACTTGAAGGTTATGCTTTTCTTTTTTGGAACTGGGGGAGAATGAGAGTAGACAGAAGCTAGCCATAGAATTCCCCAAAAAAAGAAAAAGAATGAAAAAGTCACTGAAATATTTTTTAAAGAATGCACAGAAAAAAAACCAAAACAAAACAAGGAAAGCCAGAAAACCAAAAGGTAATACAGATGAGCAGGACAGTTTTGAAAGCTGCATACTCAATTTGTTATATACTAAAAAAGAAAAGCAAGCTGTAAGATACAGACATTCATAGTTTCATTTGCAATACTTCTATTTACACATACTCAATTAAAAAATTCTTTTTGATATAACAGTGAGTTATCACACAATATATAAAATTAATTTCCTTTGAAAAAAATGCTTTATGTTATTGAGAATACTGGCACCACCAAATAAAACTCAGGATATTCATATTTTAAAAAAACCAACCCTCTAATTTCCCAATGACTTTCACCATATATGGAGATTAATTTTCTCTCTCAAAAATTTAAATTCTAAAATAGAAATTGAAGCTAAGATGCCTACGTTTATTAGTTCTCTCCCATCCTGGCTCTGCATTTAACCTTGTGGTTGTACATTCCATCTTCTCCTACATGGAGATACAAGGTTATAGTCACAAGGCAGGCAGCAGTCTCTATTAATTAGGTTCCCATGACACTGCAGACCCATGTAAGTGGAAACTCATGCTTCTCCCTAAGACATGCTTATATGGAGGCCTACGCAATTAGAAAAAAACCAAAAATATGGGTCAATCAGTTAAGACTCTTTCAGTCAAACAATCCATTTTAACCACCAGTTCAAGCATTTATTCTAGAGAACACACACAAGTAACTGATTAAACAACCATTACTTAGTATTACATGTTACTTAGCTCCAGAGACATACAATTTCTTTTTCCTCTTTGTGTATGCTAGTTTTAGAAATCTGGGGTAAAACAGGAATATAAATGCCATCTTCTTGTCTTGGGGCTCTGGCTCAGCTTCCTGTGGACCCTTCTGGGTTAACACTGTAACTATTAAGAGTGTGGGGAGTGTGGGGAGTTATGGGGTGGCAAGGGACTTTTCACATTGGTTTGAATTACAAAGCTTTCAAGAACTTTCTTAGTTACTAAAGAAAGATTAACTAGGTTTAAAAAACTGTCACTTTGTTTTTGCAGTTCTGATGCTTAGCACATGTCTTCTACATAATAAATACTTAATAAATGTTTTAAAAATTCAATTTTGTTCAAATGGGACCATAATGTTTTTGAAGTGTTTGTTACAGATCCATAATCACCTTATTTAGAAATACAGGGGCAGCTAGGTGGCACAGTGGATAGAGCACCGGCCCTGGATTCAGGAGTACCTGAGTTCAAATCTAGCCTCAGACACATAACACTTACTAGCTGTGTGACCCTAGGCAAGTCACTTAACCCCACTGCTTAGCCAAAAAATAAGATAAAATACACACACACACATGAATGTGGTTCTCAAAGAACAGATATGTGCATGTCCCTTATTCTCTTCCCAAGAGAATCGAGAGACTATGGGTGAAGAACACTGTATAAGGCTGGATTTGGATGACGTGTTGGTTAGTTCTGCTGAACTGCTTTTTAATCTCTTTTTTTTATTCTTTGTCAAAAGAGATGGCTCTCTAGGACGCAGGTGGTGAGGGTACAATCAAGAAATGTAGGTAATATAAAAACAAAACATATCAATAATTTTTTTTTAAATATTAAAGTGTTTAAGATGCAACTTAGCTTTCTCAAAAACAAAAAAAAGTTTTATATGGGGGGCAGCTAGGCGGCACAGTAGATAGAGCACTGGCCCTGAAGTCAGGAGGACCTGAGTTCAAATCTAGCCTCAGACCAAACACCTGACACTAGCTGTGTGATCCTGGGCAAGTCACTTAATCCCAATTGCCTAAAAATAAACAATTTAAAATTTTAAAAAAAAGTTTTATATGTACTAAATTTTCAAATAGAGTGTACTGTAATACTAGTAATAGATCTGGTCATTTAATTTGCTCTTAGATGTTTTAAGATTCTTTGTATACATGCAGTCGTATAATACTGAACAAATAAGCACACTTTGCAAGTTTTTGTATGTTTACACACAAGGCAAAATCCAAAACCAGAAGCAATCATAAACATTATCATTATAATTCATCAGAAGAAGTTACTCTATTTCCTGAATTTAGAAGCCTCCACACTGTTAGGCAGACAGAAAGTACTCATTTTCAGAAAAGGAGCTATTAAAAAATGGGAAGGGAAAAAAGCATAACTCATTGAAATCAATTTCATTTTCTAAGCTGTCACTACTAGCATTTACTTTTATTTCAATTTTATCATCTTCACAAACTTACAAGAACTAAGAACTCTGCCTAGATTGAAATCACATTCTCTACTTTTACCTCAAAACAAGAAAAAAATTGTATAAATTTCCAAACCCAGAACAATTCGTTTCACATGCTGAGCAAAATTTAATTAAAAACTATAGTGAAAAGGTCAAGACCTCTTCAAGGGAAGAAGACTGTTGGAGAAGTCATAGCCTTCATTCTTGGGCCAAACAGTGAAAACGCCCCTGTTCTGCAACATTTTAAAATTATCTACCCAATATCAAGTCCTGAATACGTTGCTTGTCTTGCCAATCAAATGCAGAACTACTAGCATTTACACTTATTTCTACCAATGAGTTTCAAATTCAAAGAACATGTTGTAACACATTGTAAATCTCTCAGTTTTCGGGTATACTAATCGTCTGATTTTGCAGAGAGCTTTACAAATATATTTTCCTACTGCTTACTTTTTTGAATGACTTTAGGTGACTAAAACTTATAGATCCCTGTATGAACATCTTCAAAATTCTATTCAACTGTCTATAAAAATAATTCATGGTCACAGGATACCAAGAGATGTAATAATGTTAGATGGAATCTCAGAATTCATTTGGTTCAATTTCCTCACTTGGACCTCTTAAGGAGAGTAAGTGATTTTTGCCCATGGTAACAAAAGCATTCATTAGAAAAGGTGAAATATAAATAAAGGTGAGAGGACTTCAAATGCTGTGTTCATCCATTATATTACATTGCTCCTCACAGAAGTACTCAGATTTCTGTTCCTTACTCTGCAAAAGTCTTCATATCACCTAATATAACCTCAACAAAATATGTCATCTCAAAGAGGATGAATATTCTGACACCTTCGAAGAGTTAACTTACCTCACAGTGTTGAATTTTTTGTAAAGGAAGACAAATGGCATATCACAAATTATGGTAAATACACTGAACCTAGGGTATTGCAATGCTATTCTAGATTTCTTTACGGTGTTAATTCTCTGTAGAGGGAATAGGAGAAACACTAGCCAATATTAATTTGTGCTGCTTCCTTACTTACATACTTTCTCTGTCAAAGCACCTTTAATTTCCTCAACTCATCAATCCACTTGATCCAATAACAATACAAAATCCTTCCTCCATATACTGAAATACTGAATAGAAGAGGAATGAAGAGAGGAAAACACAAGGAATGAAGAGAGGAAAACACTCTCTATTTATACCTTTAAAAGTAAATATTTCCCTTGACAAAGTTGGTAGCTAATCAGCTCAGTTGATAAATGATTTTTCAACTTAAACGTAAGAAAAAAACCCTTTCCCGGTGTTGAAATGCATAAGACATTTATGCAGAGTTGCAATAAATGTAATAGAAGCCATTGTTATGCAGCTTTAACAAACAGCCTGAAATTTTATTTCCACTATAAAGGTCTTCTTTTTGATCTTTTGGAGCAATTACATTTGCATAAAAGACCATGAAAATTCATACCAGTCTAGCTCTAGCCCTGCTAATAGAGCAGTTAAAAGGTGGCGCCAGACCAATGCTTGGTTCCTTCTCTCTCTATCCTGAACTTCTAATTTATCCAGAACTTATAGGGTTAGGAAAGCTCAGAAAACTATGGGGCTGGGCATGCTTGGCATGGAAACAACAAAGCCTCGATTCTGCACCAAAATACAGCAGTTGTTATGTCCCAACGTTAAGGGCTGTGACTGTATCCCTTTCTCAGCAACAAACATAGCTGAAATATCTCTGAATCCCAGAAGCAATACAGGCAATTAGAAATGCATGTGGGAACGACTACAGTATCCCCACGCATGTCTAAATTCCTGCCCTTTTTAAAATTATGCATTTAAACAAATGATATAGGACAAAAATAAATTACAGACTGAAGAAAATAAAGGCTGCTCCCTAGTACTGTGTAAGAAAAAGCAAATTGTAAGCAACTTAAAGATGACAACCATACCCAATCTATAGAACACACAGCACATCAATGGGACTCAATGATCCTATTTTTCTGGGCTTGCTGTAGAATATAAGCTCCTTTAGGACAAAGACTTTTTTTTTTGTTTTTGCCTCTGCATTCTTGAAGTCTAATACAGTGTGTTACACATAGCAATTTATGAGAGCTTATTTTGAAGGGGCAGCTAGGTGGCCAGAGGCCTGGGTCTAGGGCTCTCAAAGGGCACCCTGTGAAGCACCGGGGGCAAGAAGGCCACAGGCTTAATGAGGCAACAGCACAGCACTTCCTGAGACATCCCAGGGGCAAAGATATAGACCACAAGCAATCAGGTGTTAAGAGGAAGTATGTTCAGTGATTGTTACACTTAACTGAATTTAAACAAGTTTGAGGGCAAACTTTATTGGAATCTTTACTGGAAACATCACAACATCTCTAATACCTACTGCCATCATTGTTCTTGGCCTTCTATATTTGTGATTCCTATTTATGACAAAGGAAGGCCTACTAACACAATCTGAAAAATGTTTCATTTTACGTAGCATTCTGGGAGGCCTTAACCCATTAAAAAAAAAAAATGAAATAACATTTGTCTGTAAAAATACTTCAGAAAATTCCAATGAAAATTTACAGTTAAGTTTTAAAAATATACAGAAGATCCCAAAATGCACAAACTCCTCTAGTTAATAACATAGAAAAAAAATGGGAAATTATCATATATATGCTGCAAATTTCTCATCTCTCAGGAACAATACATTGCTCATAACCTGCATTTAAATGAAAACATGTCAAGACACATAAATGACTTCACAGTACTTCCATTATTAACTTTAATGAACTGAGACTGCATACATTATTTGTTGGTGTTTAACTGGATTCAAATTATATCATTTAGTTTATCTGCATTTACCAGATGAACTAAATCAATATTCTTTTAAACAAAGCACATCTGCCTAAACTGTCTATAATAATAACCATAATACAAACAGCAATTAAGTACTTTGGATGAGATAAATTTTATTCCCAATTACTATCTTATATTAGACAAGGCTAACATTTTGCACAAGAATACTAGCTTTCTGAACCTCCTTTTAATTGTATTATGCTGTTGATCATTTAAAATCAACTGGAGAAATTTTTTTTAACAGTGATATAACAGAAAGGATAAAAAATTTTAAATAAAATTTTTTTTTACCTAGCTCAGTTACTTGTCGATCAAACGGGCAGCGAATTGCTCTTCCATGGAGGGGAAGGCGTGTAAGACAGTCATGACAGACAGTGTGGCCACACAAAAGCAGGCGTGGAACTTTGTCTCCTTGCAAAGAAAACACATCTTCACAAACGCCACATTCTAGAACCTAAAATTTAAAAAGGAAACAGATTGATTTTTCATTCATTTCCCCGAGTTCAAAACTAGCCTCAGACACTGACTAGCTGCATGACCTTGGACAAGTCACTTAACCTCCTTCTATCTGCCTGTGTTTTCTCATCTGTAGAAAGAGGATGATAACAATAACACCTATCTTCCAGGGCTGTTATGAAGATCAAATGAGATAATATCTGTATAGTGCTTAGCACAGTACCTGGCAAACAGTAGGTGCTATATATAATGCTAATTATTATTACTAATTTTTAAATACACATATTTTAGTTTAACTTACTTGTATAATAATTTTACTCTACCTTACTGAGTAGAGAGTTTCCTTTCCATGAAGATAATTATCCAAGTTGTGAAGCTTCAAATTTCCTTTGCAGTGGTCCATTTGACAAACCCTACTACAAGAATGTCACAATGGAAGCTATTTTAAAATGAGGTAAAGGTGGCCAACAGGCCAACCATATACAATCTAATCACTATAGTAAGTTTTCTTATAATATTTACACTTTGAGGAACATTAACTGAACCAAAGTATATAACTGAATCTGTATGATAAATACATTATTTTCCTGGATTTCTTTTTTTAAACCAACTCCTGTGGTAACTCAACAGTAAAACAACATTAGTTTGGTATTCAGGAATTTAGAATTTGTTCTGGGATAAAAGCTGACCTTTCAAAAAAAAAATAAAGCTGACCTTTCTATCCATGAAAAGATGTTCAAAAAGCATCTTCTCTGTTTCATCTTGGTTCATTCTTTTTGGTTCTGCCCCGATAAAAGCAAGAGTGTTTGGGTAAGATGTTGCACCTTGGTTTTCAATTTACTTTAGTATTTTTATTGATAGTTCTTACATTAATAAAGAAAAATTTTGTTTGCTAAGAAAATTAAATTTAAGCTCATGAGAGCAGGTACTGTGTTATATCTATCACAGTTATCATTAACACACCACACTCTGCCTTAATGGCAGGAGGAATTTAGTGTCTTCAATTCAAAATTAATACTACAAAGATTATAAAATTATTTATTTGAGAATAAACTACTGTCAAGTAAAGAAGCATTCAATTATATAAAAATTAAAGAAATAACTCTTTCATTTAAGCAAGATCAATTATTACTCTATTTCAGATTCTTTTGTTGAAATAAAGCTGAATTTATTTCAAAATATTCTGTAATTCAAGCATTTCCCTAATTCAGATGGGCTTTTCTTATTCCAGTTAGACTTTAGTAAAGCTTTACTGTTTTTTAAATGCATTATCCAAGTATAACGTATACTTATTTATATTTAAGTATAAAGCACAGTACTTTTCATTCTATAGGACCATAAAATGATTCACAAAGGAAATGAAATTAGAAAGGTATGCTGCTCCAACATTTCTAAATTCCTAGAACAAAATGCTTAAACTATAAATAAGACTGGAAAAGAAATGTTGAGATTAGTATATATACTTAATCACTGAAACAGTAACAAAATAGAAATGGAAACTAAAAATTGCAAAAGGTATATAATAAAAAGACTCAAATACAGCCAAAATGAATTAATGATTGAAAGCTAGAATCTGAATGGAGATCTCAAATATTTTAAACTTAATTATTTCATTTCTTAACTGGTATCTTGAACTACAAACTCATATATTTGTCACTATAAACATATATATAATTTTGCATCATAGGGTAGAACAGAAAAAACTTAGATTTGATTTGAAAGTTTTTCACAGTTAAATGAAACAATTTGATTTTAAAACAAAGAAATTATTGAGCAGTAGTTTAAAACTATATATGAAATTTTATTAAATCTGCTTCTGAAACTACTATATGATTTCCATCAGTGTTGACCATCCTTCTCCATAATTTGGATTTACTTTATAAGCAAAACCAACCAAGTTCAAATTGCTCTAACAAAATTTAGCTACTTCTATAACAACTCTATATTTTCAAAAAAGCACTAAGAAAAACTCCTATTATGCCTATCACATCCTAGTTTTCAGTTCCAGGGAAGAAAAGAGCACAAAACCAACATCTCTGCCACTTCACTAGCTGACTTAAAAAATAATTTATTTCATTCTTCCATCTGTTTTCTTATTAGTAAAATGGAGATTATAATACTTAAACTTCATCTACTTCACAGGGTTGACGTGAAAATCAAATGAAATAATGATAATGAGCCTTACAATCATAAAGCTGTCATTACTGCTATTATGGCAAATAAGTAACTTTTCTTTTAGACATTTAATTATTATGCACTGCACTCACAAGTTGAGGTAATAGATATTTTTTCCATATCTATAAAAAAAGCAACAAACCTTTGCTTTGTGATACAGCATGGGAAGTCAAATCTTATAAGATAAATAATTCAGTAAATACTTCAAGGAATTGAAGATTTAATTTCTTAAGCCATCAAGGCTTCTTTTCAGAGATACTAAAAAAAAAACAAACAAAAAAAACCACAGGCTTTATAAATTCCAAACGCAACACATTCATGTTTTTTCTCTGAAGAACAGAATTCTCTGTGAAGGACACAAAGATAAAAGACAGCACCAATACATTCCTTTAAAACTATGACATCTCCAGAACTGAATTTAAAATCTTGTGTTTGGCATATAAAGCCTTCATAATCTAGCCCTTGCTTACCTTTCTGGTCTTCTTAAATTTTGTTCCCTTCAAAGTACAGTACTATCCAGCAACACTGGCCTTCTTGTTCCTCATACAAGACATTCCATCTCCTGGCTCCCAGCCTTTTCATTGGCTGTCCCCCAGCCTGAAACACTGCCCCTTCTCACCTAATTTCCTTCAATACAGCACTACTCCCACTTCCAGGCCTCCTTGATAGATTCTGCTGCTGAAGATTTCCCTCTCTCATTCAGTACGTACATATTTGTATGTATAATTGTATCCTAAACATCATAATCAGAGCAACTTGTTTTTGCTTTTCTTCACATACCCAACACTTTGCACAGTGCCTGTGCACATATAGTTTAATAAATGCTTGATGAATGAGTAACAGGGTCATACATGACAGGTTCCCTAGCAGGGAATACATTCTATCATTTGTAAATAAGAGGTCATAGGTTCAAATGTCCAAGAATATAAGTAAAAAAAATTCTTAATTGGTAGAGTAGAAAAACCTGCAGAGCAAATTTTTTAACCTAATCAAAAAAAGAAAACTGCAATAAATTCTTTTGTAACATGAAGCACTTAAGGAATCTCCTAATTATACATTCCTTAACAACTCGGTTTTGTTCCTCTTTGTAGTTCTCTGTAGAACCTATCATGGTGCCTTACACGTAACAACAGGCTTTGAACAAGTTGTTAAACTGAGCTGAATTTGATCTTACATTTAGATTTTTATATCTTTGTTTTTCTTAAGAAAGGGAATATATGGGAGGAGAAAAATTTTAAACTTTTTTTTAAATTTAAAGCATATGGAAGTGATTGTTGATAAATCAAAATACATTAATAAAAAATTTTTTAAAAGGGAGTATATGAATAACAGTACAAAATACTTTACCTTCAAAGAATCCAAGATTTAGAGTTTAAAAGGGATCTTACAAGCCACATAATCTGATTCCTATATTTTGTAAATGAGGAAATTGAGGCTTAGAAGATTACATGGCTAAAATAACAGTGGTAATTTAAATAGAAGTGGAATCTGAATCCAAGTCCTCTTAGTCTAAACTGCCCAGTTCAAGACAATGCTCCCTGGAGTAGCACATGCAGAATGTGTTTCCTTCTAGGGAACACATTTTTGAAAACACGTTGGCCTATTTTCAAAAGAGGGTTACCCAGATGTCAAAGAGCCTAGATCTCATCTGATCCACATAACAACCTTATAAAGTAAAAAGGAAGTAGTATTCTCATTTTGCAGATGAGAAAACTGAGGCAGAACTAAACTTTAAATGAGTCAGGATTCAAAACCAAATCTGATCCAGAGCCAGATAATGATTATTTCATTTTTTAAGATTACACAAAAGCATCATAATATCTATTATTATAGTTATAAGCCAAAATGATTCATTCCAAATATGGAATTACCAGTGCTGTGTTTTTTTAAAAATCTCTCTAGATATTACTAATACCGCGATAAGTGATAGCACCAATGCGTTCTTTGACTTACGACCTAACTAAAATGCCATTCTCTGGGGTCCATGTCAAAGATTCACTCAATAAGGAATATTCTATCAGCTTTAAGGTAACTACATCCCCATGCACAAAGGTGAAAGCAAACAAGTGTTAATACCAAATTTTGCATTGTATGAGTTTGCGGAAATATATTTATGCTCCAGAGTACTTCCGCAATGAGTGACTATCATCTAAATTTTTAAAATTAAAATTCTGAACTAAAAATTATGGTAGCTGAACAACCCATTAACAATCACTAGTTATTTGCTAAATTCTGCTGTAGTTCGGAGATACGTTAGTTCAAGATATTAAGATAACTGCGTATAGTAATTCTACAAAATAATCTGTTAACCTACTCGGAAACACAGGGGTCACAAAAGGAGATTTAGAAATGCAGCATTTCCCCCTGATGAATTAAATGATGAGTTTTATGTCTTCTTCACAGCACCTGAATTCTATGCATCTTCAGAATCAGTCGCCTTAGTACGGAGGATTGTGGAGTATTATCAACGATCCTTTTCTATAATGCACAATAGCCCATGAAATACAAATGTCCCAAAAGTCTCCGTGCATTTTAAAGTTGTGACAGTTTAAAGTCCCTTTTTAGATCTAAAGGTCCCTTTTAAGCTTTGACAACATAAAGCTGCACTAAGACTTCTAAAACATGCTGCATATTGTGAATAATGAATATGCTACTGCTAACATAAATTACCAGCACTGGAACAGACAATAAATATGTGACTAATGAGTTCTAAGCGCTGCAGTTCACATTTTTCTTATGAGTTGATACCAACTGGGCCATCTAATACACTGAAACCAACTATTCCTTGAACAGGCTGGGGGAGGTGAATAACCCCTTAAGCACTACAGAGATATATACTCTGAGTTTTCTAAATATTAACTAACGTTGTCTGGCATCATGGTGAGAATACCAGTTTTGTGGTCAAAAGGTATGCTTTCCAAAGCCAGCTTTAATACCAATTATTTCCTCAGGCAACAGATTTCCACCACCCGTCCAGGCCTCAGTTTCCTCATCTGTAAAAAAGATTTTCAACTGGATCTTGGGTTCTCAACCTAAGGTTAACTTCTTTTTTAAAAAAAATTTTGATAATTATCTTTCAATGTGACTGGTTTCCTATGTAAAATCATGTATTTTATTTTATGCACTAAAAAATATTCTGAGAAAGGCCCACTGGCTTCACCAGACTACCAAAGGAGCCCATGACAAGGAAAAGGGTGGAAGAGCCCCCCGGACTGGAGGGTGCAAGGTCCCGGGCAGCTCAGGCTCCCCAGGAGGGCTTGGCGGCCCACGGGACGGAGGCTCCTGCACCAAGAGCTTTCTCCGAAATAAACTGTAAGAAAATTAACTGACGAGGCCCTGGTTAAGGGGTGGGGGGAGCTACGCACTGTCCGGTGCAGCCCAAGGATACGGGGACGGGAGGGAGGGGTGGAAGCAGGCCGGGGAAGGCGGGCGCAGGCTCGCTGGGGTCCCCCAGGCCCTCGAGGCTGCGAGAAAGGGCACCAAGAACAGCCACCGGCGCCGCAGCGACCCCCGGGCCCTGCCTGGGGCGACCCCGGAGCGGCCCGCCCCACCGAAGGGGAGGGGGGCAGAAAGATGACGACAATAGGGGCAAAAAAGACCGGGGCCGACGGCGTCTCACCTTCACGGAGGCGGGGCCCCGGGCGCCGTGCTTGCCGCTCTCGAAGCCGGCTCCGGGCTTGTTTACAACCAGGGCCGCCATCGCAGCAGCACCGCTGCCGCAACCAACGGAGGGGCGGGAAAAGATCCGCCTCCACTTACGCATCCGGCTGCACAGGCGCAGTGAGCCGACGTCCAGAGGCGAGGGCGGCAAGGGCGGAGAGGAGCAGCCCCGCCCAGCCCGTCGCTACCGGGGGAACGACACACAGGGGCGTTGTGTCGGCGTGGCTGTGCGCGTGCGCACGTGACTCTAAAGGACTTGAACAAGGACCCGGAGGTTGAGGTTGTGTTTCTCATTAAAACCGATCTTACTCAGGTCCCAGGATGCAGCGCGGCTCCGAATAGACTACGAATCCCGGCATGCTGTTTGCTTCTTTAACGCTCAGGAATCCTGGCTTGCTGGCCGCCCTTGTGATAAGACCGTGCCGCGCTGTTACCGACCAGTTTAGAAACCGCTCTTTGCAAAACTATACGGTTTAGTGATGGCTGGGGAGAAGAGTGTGGATGGAGGAAGCAGTTGGGTTTTTGTGTGGCTTTTCGGGGTGGTAGGGGACGACAACCAGAGATATCTTTGCGTACATTCGATTAGAAGATGATTGTCGGCTTCGGTGGAACCAAACTGCGGGACTCGCGGGGGTAAGTGGGGGAGGAGAGAAGGGCTTGGAAGTGACGTTAGGTGTCGCCGGTAGAAGACAACGAGGTAGGCACGTGATTCTCTTTCTCGGCGCCTTCCTGTTTTCTTCCGGGGGCGGGGCGTTGCTTTTTGAGCCTCGCCAGCCTCCGTTGCCGGTAGTTCTAAGGTTCCGGTGGAGATGGAGGTGAACCCACCAAAGCAGGAGCATTTACTGGCGCTAAAAGGTAAAAAAAAAATGTTGCCGAGACATCACGCATCCTTTCCCTCCCTCCTTTCTTTCCATTCTCTGGATCCCTTTTGCCGCCATCGCGGCGAGCGAGGCCCCTAGCATGGCCTGGAGCTCGACTCCCCTGTTTCATCCAGTGGGTCAGGGGTCTGCCGCCCGTCCTGGCCATTGGCAGACCAGAGACCCCGGTGTCCGGCTGCCCCCGCCCGAGCCTAAGCACGGGAAGCCTCTGGTGCTTGGGAGACTAGTGTTCCCTTCTTCCTCAGTCATTGGGCAGCTTTGGGAGGAACTTTCAATGTTCCTCCCTAAAATAACTTTAATAGCCCCTTGGTGTTATTGGAAGTCCCTACTGTTAAGGATAAAAGCGCACAAAGTTACGAAATAAATCCCAAATTTATTTCATACTCGTTAAATTCACTAGATTATAATACATCGTCCCTTAAATGTCACAGAAATGGGAGAACTTAAGTATCTTAGGCTTATAATACCTTCTCAAAACACAAATGTTTAGTTATAAACTAATTTTGTTAAGAATGAAACACTAGTAAGTTTTAAGTTGTGTAGATAATTGTTATATAGAGAGGTATGTGGAGATAGAAACTACCCTCATAAAGTTAATATATATTCTTTGAGAATTGTTTTTCTCTTTGGAAGACCAAGAAAGCATTTTAATCAGGATGGCCCTTATAGATCTGTTTTTTCCGTCTCCCATTACTACATACAAGTCGATGTTTATTATGTGATATTAATTTATTTTCAGCAGAGCATACATTTTGTATTGTAGTGTGATCACTTTTATTGAACCATACTTTCTTCTTGGCATCATTTTTTGAGGTAGTGTAATTTTGGTTACAATCCGTACAAAAACTGTGAAGCGTTAATGGACAGATATTTCGATCCAGCCTGTTAAGTTCCTCTGCAACAGTCGCTGGCTCCAACCATTCACAATCATAAATCTGGAACTTGAAAGGACCTCAGGACCATCTAGTCCAATCCCGTCATTTAAGATAGACCTAGTTTTTGTATCTGTCAGGATTTAAGTAGGGGAACAGTACCTTCAGAATTCATTCCCTTACCAGCCTTTATGGTGAAAACTGCACAGCTGCTAAAGATTCCTTGCAAATTAACTTTTTATCAAACATGGCTAAATCTGTAGATAGATCCATTCTGTGATTTGTCTAATTCCTATTCTTTCGTTTCTGCCTCGGAGACTTGGACAAATTTTGACAAATGGTAGTCAGTTTTGACACCCCTGAGCAACTCAGGTAAAAAAGTTATGGAAGAGTACATTGCAATTTACTGATAGTTGAATTTTCTTTAACAAACTAAGTTAAATGTGATTTCAGTTTTCTTATTTGTATTTTATTTAAGATAATGTTGGAGTTATATTCTGATAGAATATATATGTGCATATAGTTTTTCTCTCTTCCCCTCTCCTGTTTTCTCCTCTCCATTCTTCCTCTCTCTTTTCCCCTGTGCCCACCAAAACAAGTCAAATACCAGAAAACAAAAGTTGCAGGTTTTAGGAGTACAGTGTTACTCAAATTTTTGTCTCTGTGTCATGGAACTGCAGATGTTCAAGAAAAATGTAATCTTTCTCAATTTCTGAATATTTTATCCCATATTCAAATATATAATGATTTTTGCATTTCACAGTCACAGGTACTTGAAAGTTTTAGGGAGACAAATTCATGGGCTGTCAAAAATTGAATTGACACAAACAGACCTAAATGATAATAATTTTACTAATGAAAATTCAATAACTGGTTCTTCTGCCCACATTAATAGTTGATTCAAATGAAGCCTTATTACCTGTTTAAGAAGTTGTCATATGTAGGATAGTTAGTAATACCCCAGTACCTCTCTGTTGGATAGGTTACCATGAAGTTCTTCTAGCCCCATCCTTCTGTATAGAATTGTGAATCTGACTGTACCCTGGTTCTACCAACCAGAACACCCTACACTGTAGACTGTAGGAGCTGTATTTACAGATTTGACTTGCAGTTATTGGGTATTTCATGGTTCTAAAAAGAGGGAAACCTATATCCCTATTCCAGACTGGGTATTTTGACAACTATATTTCAATGTAATTGGTTTCATTTGTAACCCTTAACATTTAATTTTCGCTTTTAGAAGTATTTTGAGAAGCAGTCCATAGGTTTCACCAACATGCCAGTGGGGATATTGACACAAAATATGTTAAATCTCTGGTCTAGAGTAATTAGACTGAACCAAGTTACCTGGTGAAAGTTCTATAATAAATCTATTAATGGGCTCTAACCTGGTTAAAGTGCATTGTCCAAAGTACTTATATCTTATAGCACTTACTAAGTAAGCACTTATATAGTGCTTAATGTTTGTTGCTGAGGATGTCAAATATATTTGACAAAAATTATGAAAAAACTAATATTTGTTTAGAGGCAGCTAAACAGGAGGACCTGAGTTCAAATCCAGCCTCAGACACTTACTAGCTGTTGTAACCCTAGGCAATTCACTTAACTTCTGTTTGCCTTAAACCATTGGAGCAGAAAATGGCAAACTACTCCAGTATCTTTGCCAAGAAAACCCCGTGAACAGTATGGGCCACAAAGAGTTGGACACAACTAAGTAACATTTGTTTAAATCCATTTTTACAAGTTCTTGCAAATAAAAGTTACAATCCATTTTTCTTTATTTTGATGTGAATCTCTTTAACTTTGTAAATGTTAACCATATTTTTCTTTAGATCTACATGAGATTAATATTTAGGAATCACAAATTTGTTTTTTGTCTAAATTATTATTTTAAAACTACTGCATATGAACATTTTACTGCATACCTCTAAATGATTAATATTTAACACTAGAGATTAAAATCTCATAGCATCATAAAGCTTTAGGACTTCACAGTTCATTTTTAAAATTTCCCCCTCATTTTCTCAATGAGGAAAATGAGATAGAGATTGAATAACTTGTTCAAGACTACACAGCTAAGGGGCAGCTGGGTGGAGCAGTGGATAGAGCACTGGCCCTGGGGTCTAGAAGACCTCAGTTCAAATCCAGCTTCAGACAGTTGACACTTATTGACTGTGTGCAAGTCACTTAACCCCAATTGCTTCACCACAAAAAACACAACAACAAAACCAGACCACAGCTAATTTGGAGGAAGGCTCTGATTAAAATCCCAGGAATTCTGATTCTTTTATCAGTTTTCCACAGCAATGGAATTTGGATGTAACAGAGTCCTATTTGAATTGTTGCTTTTTTAAATGTATTTGCTTTAGTTCCAGATAAACATAAAACTAAATTTCTAAAAAGTTTTTTTATTTAGAGTTTTATATGTCATTTAAAAGAGTTTTCTCACCTTTTTAAAGCTTATAATTACCAGTAGCCACTCTAGCAAAATAGAAAGGTACACAAGTTCATTTTTATCCTACCTATTTATGTATGACCTATTTTAGTAGAGATACCCAGTGTATCTTATTCTTTGTAATACTTCTACTTTAGGTCCTGTTTCTTCCTTCTCATCAGTGCAGAATGTGGAAAGAAAGACAAGAAGGTTTTATAACTATGAATTTAAGTTCTAGTGCTGTGGATCTTGGCCAAGAAATGTTGTGTCCCCATTATTAGTATCTGGACTTGTACAGAGTATCTGGCCTTGTACAGAATGAGTACAGAGGTAGTATTATACTGTCGACCATGTGAAAGTGACCCTACACAATTATACAGAGTTGCAGAAGAAGCTATTAATGAATTTCCTACTCGTCCACTATTGAGATTTATACCTTGGTTTCCAAATGATGTAATAAAACTTCCCCTCAAACCTAAAAGACTACCACCGATTATTTCTGGTGAGGCAGCTAAAGAAGCGGACCAGCACTTTACCATTTCAGAACATCACAGGAAAGCTCAGAATTATGATTGTACAGTGGGCCTTCCGGAGTTTCAACCAAATTTGGAAAAGAGGAAGTGTTTAATCCGAGCACAAACATTGGATGAACAGATTAGTTGCGGAAATCCCAGTGAACAAACCAAAAAAGCAAAACGGCAGTTGAAAAGGTCTTGGAGTGTTTCAGTTTCCAGAAATTTTAAAGAAAAGGTTTTGCCTTTATCTAAAGAATTACAACAGAGTTTAGAAAAATTAAAGCTACATTCATTATATAGAGCAAGATGGACAATAGAACATTCTGTTTTTAACAACC